TGTAGTCTAGCTCACTGGCCACTGTGAAAAAGTGGAAGTAAAACACACTAGATTTCATCATGTAATTCTCTTCTAATCTAAGCAGAGATAAAACTCACATCGATTCTCAGTTTAAAATTCCTACAAAGGCAAATATAATTTCTGTGATATTTTTCACTTAGTCTGGATAGAAAGAAAAATGTCATGTGTAGCTGATTGAGAGCCATTGTTGGTTTTTTTCTCACCTTTTAGAGTTATTTAAACCAAATTATTTTTCTTTTTTTCCTTGAAAAACATTGGTTTAGACAAACACTCTCAGTAGCCAATCAGTAGAGGATCTAGTAGTGTGATGTTAACTACAGAAAGGATTGTCTGAGAACATAAGACATTGTGGATCTGTTGGTCCCTAATCAGATATACTACTTTTCTACACTAATTTAACCTCTAGGAGATGCCCAAAAATGTGATTTTTTAAAATAGCCTTCCTGAAAAACACCAATTGTGTTTTGTAAAAAGAAATCATGCCTGCTGTTACTCCAGAATGTGTCCCTCCATTCTCCATTGCTGCATTCAGACTGTGCATCTTCACTCTTAGTTTCTCCCACAAGACCTTTAGAAAACTCAGTCATTTTTTTCTTATACTGGCACTGCATAAAGTGACCTTACCTTTCAAGCTACTGGTGCATTTTTTCATATGATGCTCTGGAATCCTGAAATGTCTTGGCTCTTCATTTCATCAGTCAAGCTGTTTTTTCTTTACAATTTTTGAATGAGTGATATTGTAATGAGTAAAACTGGGTCTTTGAGATCCAGGCCAGGGGAATGAAAGTTCAGTATATGGCCTTTACAGAGAAAAGTACAATTATGGTGTAGGCTATCAAATCCAATCTTGTATTTAACGGCACAGAAATGCTTGGTCGGTTTTGCACAGCTAAGATACTAAGTTAGCTTTGGGGAGAAAAAAAAAAAAGAGAGAGAGAGAGGTATTCTTCCAAAAGAAAAAAGTATTTGTGGCTCAAGAAAGCTGCTGGCAGCATTGACTGAACTACATTTTTCTTGAAATTGTAGTTTTTGAAAACTATTTCTTAACCATAGAAAGTCTCACTTCATATGTCTCAGTTTTTGCATCTTGTACGTAGTGCCTCTTCCACCCTTCATCATTTTACAGGTGGGCTTTGTTTGTGTGAGTTCTCTTTGCTGAAGTGGAATGGCTCCTGCTTTACACTGAGATGGAGCTCAACACCTTTAATATGCTTTTCCTTTACAAATTTGGCTTTAGGAAGTCAGAAAAATGTGCTGAAGGTTCTCCGTTACTACAAGATTTCTTCCTCATGAAGTTTGCTTCCCCATATAATCATGTAATTAGCAGAGACATCCTTGAGAGCGCCGGCCTGTCACTGTTAGCTAAGATCTCTATTACCTGCTGGTTTGGCTGGTGTTTTGAGTGGGAGCAGAAATTTGCCCACTGAAATTGACACTTCCAAAGGTTTCAGCTTTCCAAATTAAATCATTCTTTAAATACAGAAACAAAATGGGAAGAGCCCTTTGTGGGGTCTTTCATAATGTATTTCTAATATTTCACAGAATCACAGGATCTTAGGGGTTGGAAGGGACCTCAAAAAATCATCTAGTCCAAACCCCCTGCCAGAGCAGGGTCACCCAGAGTACATCACACAGGAACGTGTCCAGGTGGGTTTTGAATGTCTCCAGCGAAGGAGACTCCACAGCCTCTCTGGGCAGCCTGTTCCAGTGCTCTGCCACTCTCACAGTAAAGAAGCTTTGTCTGATTACATGGAACCTTCTATGTTCCAGTTTGCACCCATTACCCCTTGTCCTACCACTGGTCATCACTGAAAAAAGCCTGGCTCTGTCCTCCTGACACTCCCTCTTAATGTATTTGTAAACACTGATGGGGTCGCCCCTCAGTCTCCTTTTCTCCAAGCTAAAGAGACCCAGCTCCCTCAGCCTTTCCTCATAAGGGAGATGTTCCACTCCCTTAATCATCTGTGTAGCTCTGTGCTGGACTCTTTCAAGCAGCTCCCTGTCCTTCCTGAACTGAGGGGCCCAGAACTGGACACAATATTCCAGATGCGGCCTCACCAAGGCAAAATAATAATAATAAATGTTCTCACAGATTCAGCCTACACTCAGAAATGGCATAAAAGTCTAAAATCAGAGTTTTTGTTTTTACAATAAAAGCAAGTTATAATATATTAGAGGTTACCTCAGAGTCCAGGTGTATTTCTCCATCCCCACTTTGCACACAACATACACGTGGTCACATTAATAAGGGTATAACTTGCAGTCAACAGCTTCTCAAAGTGCTCAAAGAAAAATGCATCTTCTCATTTTCATCAGACTTCTAAATAGATAGGAATGTTTTTATATCCATTTGGAAGTCTTTTACCCCGTGAGTTGTCCCATTCACTGTGATTTTTCCTGGAACATGGTACTACCCAGGGTACCTATGCATATCATAGCCCCTGCCATCATTTTTAATAAGTAGCTTATCTCTGTGATGCAACTAAAAGCAATCCTGAGTGTCTTCAGGGCTTGTTGTAATTAAATTTCTTTGTTGTATTTGAAAATATACAGTTTTTGAAAACTGGCATAAGAAAAATAGAAAGGAGATTCTAGGAGATGATAGTCTGATTTTTAGAAGGTTTTAACCCTTTGTGATTTCCAAATTCACAAGCTTACTTATGCTTCCTGAATAACTGTTCCTATATGCAACTGAAGACAACTATAGCAGCTAGTGTAGTTTATTAGTTGATGTAACTGTGCAAGGATTATCATTTATACCTGCAGTCAGATGCTGTAGGATCATAGGTGCAGTGATTCATGGGTTTCTAATTAAAGATTCTAGAAGGCCTTTTCCGAAAGTCGTACACTTTTGCTGCTACCCCTTTCTTCTCCAAGTATTTACAGCTACAAGGAAATTGTTCCAAGTCCCAGCACTGCCCATGAAATCCTGTGGAGAAATGAAGGGTTTACCAGCCTCTGGTCTGGACAATAAAGTTACGTCACTGTTTTGAGCAGAAAACTGACAAGTTTATCTGTGCAATTATCTGGCATTATACTGCTGTGCTCAGGCACCACCACCCAAGTCACTGAGGAGCATGTGCAGCTGCAGCAGGGCTCACACCTTATGCAGTCAAAGGCATTGCTTGCACTCTGTGTTCAGAGATGGAGCTTTACCTTGGCTGTTGTGCCCATCTCCACTCTTTTCACATCTTATCAGGACTACTAATCAAGCAGTCATTGCTGTTTCCCCCTTTGTGTTTACTCCTGCTTGATTTTCTTGCCATGGGATGCCATGGACTGGTTTTGGAGATTCATATAACAATTTTTTCAAAATGAAAATATTTCCTCCAACAACGTCATATTTTCTGTACAGCATTGCTACTAATCTTTATTTAGTTATTTACTTTACCATTTCTAGAAGGATTGGATGTGCCCAAGGTGTCCCTTTAGGCAACACTTTATATCAAGGTTCCATTTATAAATACTTCATGAAGGGCTAATGAATGATTAATAGATGTTTTAATGTATGACCAATCAATTGTTGTAGATTTCTCAACGTCCAACAGACAAGTAGGTTTCTTATAAGCATAGATTATAACCATATCTGACATCTTCTACTGATGGGCTTCTAAACATCTATAACACACACACTACTCATATCTGTAACATGCTTAAAACATCTACTAATCACTGATTAATTTTTTATAACCTATTTTGAAGCAGAGCCTGTCTGTGGAGTACGTCCCTTACTACTGTCTGTGATTGTCCATTTCTGTAGGATTGATACTCTCCTTGCAACCTAAGGACTTAGAACTTGTAATTTCAGCTCAAACGTTAAGCTTTTTGGAGTTAGCTTCAGCATTTTCACCTCAGCCTAAGAAAAAATGTTTTTGCTCTCCCTAGACATTTTTCCCTCTCAAACTTCTGGCTACTTTAGTCTGTTAATGTGCATTTTGCAAGCTCTGCTAAAATGCAATGATTCTTAGGGGGCAGACCCACTCTAAAATATGTTTTCAGCCTGTTTAACTCTGTTTGATTGTTCTCAGGACAGCTGTCCCAATGATAATGGTTCCCAGCACCTTTTTCAGTAATTTTTTTCACTGTCATCCCTGGGTTCAAGGTTTGACTGTTCTCAGAACATGATGAGAAAATGCAAACTTTACAATAATTCAATGAACAAGCCATCTCCCATTTGATTACCACAGAGGAACACACATTTTGTATGTTTGATAAACCCAGGTTTGCTGGGAGTTGCTAGGAGTCTTCCTCTGAGAGATTTCCATAATCTCCAAAGGTGAAAGCTGTCTATATGTTTATATGAAGCAACTAGGTAGAATCTGCTGAAGTGGGCAGTACAACGCAACTCCTGAAAATTTGAGTCCTGCAATTAGTAATTCACTGTTGAGAAGCAGTAATTTGCTTAGGATAATACTTTGCAAAGGAATTTTGATTTTTTAGATGATTCTTGCTGAACATAATCACAAGGTTGAGTCCTCTGATTTCTCTAAATATTGAGAGCAATTTTTTAATTGTATAAATCTGCGGGTTTTTCTCATTTCTGGGCTAAAATAGTAAAATTGTCTCTGTTCTGAATATACAGAAGTAAATATCCCACTCCCATTCAAATCAAATGCTAATCTTTCACTGATTGCTGTTTAGAGTAGGATTAGGCAGCTACACATGTGGCATTAGTACATTGAACCTAAAGAAACACATCAAGCATAATTAAGAAAAAAAAACAAACTGCAGAATAAAGGGTAAATAAAGAGAGTTTTATTCTTCAATATTATCATGGAATGTCCTCTGGCTTTTTAAAAAACATTTGTTGTCAAAGATAGCAAAGCCTTAGAAATAGGAACCTCTCAAAACTACTCAAGCTCTTGGAGTAGACAGTTTTTTACCCACTTTAGCACAATCACTTTTGTGTCATCCTGTTAGCACCCAGTGTTTCTGTGTTTATCGGGGGTTTCAGCCTGATCTCTTCTCTCTTTTTTCAGCTGGTTAATAATCCACTGGCAAGTCAAGCAGCAGCGGCTGCAGCAGCAGCAGCCATGGGCTCAATAGCAAGCTCCCAGGCCTTTGGCAATGCCCTCTCCAGTCTTCAGGGGGTCACAGGTCAACTCGTCACTAATGCACAAGGACAGGTGAGTAGAAGATGGAACAAACAGTGAATTCTGATGGCAGGCTGGTCTTGGGACAAAAATGAGTTCCGCTTGTGTGACGGCAATTTAAAAGTGCACATATTGAAGATAAATAAATACTGATTTGACAGACAAGGTAAGAAAGGGGAAACCTGAGAACTGGGAGGAAGTTAGGAGCCATTTCAAGCCAGATAAGGCTTAGGTTTTGTATGATTTTAATTCAACCTTTTGAAAAGATCACAATAGTACAATAATATGTTATTTTAAAAGTCCAGCAATCCTGTGAGATTCTTAAAAAATATACCAGCTGTCTTCTTCCACTTATATAAGCCTAATAACAGACCACTGTATTAAACTGCTGCTGCGCTATTATGAATACATTTTATTTTTATTATTTTTTGCGAATTGTAGCATTTCTCTATTACATTATTTTTAAAAGGTATTAACTGTTTTAATAAAAGGAACACAACTTAAATTCTAATGAAATATCTGGGATGGATATAACTGGGTGGGTTAGTCATTTGCTGATTAACTAAAGTTAAGCAATTTACAACAAATCCGTTGCAACAAATCAGCCTGTAATGCAAATCTGGGAGAAACTTTTGCTTTAAAGAAAATTTTCCAAGCAGAAACTTAAAAAACATTAATTGCATGTCTAAGAGAGAGGCTGTGAGTTATCTGCATTTGAGAAGTGTTTATTTGTTGCAAACTATTTAGATTGCAGAAAGATGTGTATCTGAATCCATATATATATATATAAATAATTCCATTGATGCAGTGTGCTTAAGGAGCTTTCAAATTGTGGCCACTGTCATTCTCTATTGCATTTACTAGGACTAAAATTAGCACAGCTACTTGTTTCATGCTAAGTCACTGCACCAAATCTGTCAATATAACTTATGGCTGGACCTGGTAACTGAGTAATTTGAATGTCATTATTCTAAATGTTACAAATTGGGCATACGTTGATATCCACAGTGCTTACGTGGATGTTAGGCCCTGGTAAAGGTTTATTGAAGTGATGGAGCTTGGCTGAGATGTGAATCCAAACTTTACTTTCTACTTTTACTGTTTACTCTTGGGACAAAAAACACCTAGTTATTTTCTATCACCACATTATTTAATTGGAACAAGGGTGAACATTTTTTTTTTTTGGCCCACTAAAAAATAAAAGACAACATTTTATAGAAGCCCCATTTTTTTTTTTTTTTTTTTTAACGTAACACATAAAGAGAGATGCATCCTGAGCTTCACTATCACCATCCAAGTCCCAGGGAAAAAAATGCTGACCTTGTTATATTTACTGGGTGGGTGCAGAATTGTTCCATCACTACCCCGAGGGTTGAACGATGGAGCTTGTCAAAGTGAGGCCTTATCTAATGAATCATCTTATCGCAGGTGCACACCACACATATTAAAGGAGGATTGTATGAACAATGTGCCCTCTACAATAACCTTTCAATGTCTACTTTAACCCTTGTTTCAATCCCTTTTCATCAAAGGATCATTTTATGCAGCCAGCTTTAAATGGAGGCTCTCAAAAGCCAATTAAGATTTCTGGAGGGATGGGGTATTGGTTTGGAAGAAAAGTTGGTTATAGTACCTATAACTCATAGTCAGATCAGCTCCAACCTAGAAACCTGCTTGTTTCTATCTATGCTCCAGAAATGGTTCACAAGAGGCACTTGGCACCAAAGATGTTCATTGTAAGAGCTGAAGACATAAACCCAGACTAGTTTTTCAGTAGTTTTTCCTTCACATGTTCTCCACCAAAACATAAGCAAAGTGTGGCCATTCATTGTATGTTTTTTTTTTTAAAAAAAAATGATGCTGGGAAGATATCACTGAATGAAGCTATAGATTCCCTCAGGCTGAGTCTTGTTTATTCCACACATAATGTAAAGTCCAATAATTCTACAGGTTGCAGAGAAAGAGAAGAGAAAGGAAGAGAAACGAAGAATCTTCCCTATTGTTGGGTAAAATTACAGAATCTATTGGTTTGCCTAGCCCTTTTAAACAAGGGCTGTCTTTATTTTACAAGAGTTCCCTTGCTTATAATCAGTACTGCAGACCTCACCACAGTATAGATAAATATTCATAAGTGTGCAATATAACACCCTTTCTTATGATATTCACCATTAAACCCATATTGCATAGCACACCTTTCTGAAGTTATCTGTCCACAGAACAGGACTACACAGTGTAATTTAACAACATTCCACAAATTAAATTACATTCCCTGCAAATTAATAAAATTATAGCAAGTAAACAAGAACTGAAAGGTATGTTTCTTCAAAATTGAGAGTGTGTGTGAATAGTAATTTGGGATAATCCATTTCTGAAAGATCTGCCTGAACTCGTTAAGGAGCCAAATTTCTATCATATGGTAAGAATCTGCCCGTTGAAAACTGCCCCTTTCAAAGAACTGCATGTGTAATACCCAAAATTCAGTCTTCAAATTTAAGGCTGGATGATTTACCCGACTGTATGTGCAGTCTCTGTAATTATACACTACTTCTCTTCCAGAAATTCAGAGCTTGTAAATGTCCATCTGTCTAGCTAAATATACAGTGATCAGTAATCCCTGGAGACATTAAGTTATAGGTCAAATCCGAGATCCTGTGGCAAATTTAGGGAAATGATCTTCTAAGTGGCATATGGCATGGCTTTAATTCTCAGTGGTCAAGGAGTTCTTACAATCCCGGTAACAAAATCATATGTATTAATCAATATTTATGTAGCATATTTCTTAATAATTTCATTATTGAATTCATAGTTAAGGTATGATTTTTTTTTTTCTTTTAATAGCAATGTGAACCATACCAGAGCTCTCCAAAACCACTGTAGCAAAAAGATCTAATCCATTGGAATAATATTATTAGATCACCTGATTAATTTGATATAGTGTAGGTAGAGGACTCTAAATCAAATTTTCATTTTCAGAAGCATATTATGAAGAGCTATGGGCCCATGTAAGGCTGCTCACATTTTGTTTGCCCTCAGCACTTTCCAGGAAGCATTTGCAGGACTGGGCTTTCATAGCTTAAATTTGAAGGCCAAGGTAGCAGAATTGTTAGATTCCACTCTGTGAGTAGATAGATACACTGATTTCATAGAGAAGCTGTCTACCTGCTCAGCTTCAATCCTCACAGTAGGATCCTAGTGCCATTGCCGCACTTGGATTCTTCAGAGATGTAGCAACCAGACATTTGTCTTTATTGCTTTATTATAGCAATTGAAAGAAAATACCAGGAGTTTTCAGTGGGTTTTACTATGTCTATTAAGTACATTAAGTGTGTATTTTGTCTGTTTTCTTATTCTTTGTAATGAGATGAACCTCAGAAATATGGAAGCAAAGTTGATGCTTCTGGTTTTTAGAAGTGCTACCTGCAAGCCAGCCTGTTCATTGGCTAAAACAGTGTTTCATTGTCAACAGTTGCATTCCTGTAAGTCCCTTGACTTCAACAGGATCAAACACCTTTTATTGACAGGTGATGAGTTAGGTTTAGTGGAGATGGGACTAAAGATGGGAGTTGTCTAACAGGAGAAAAATACATCCCGATTTAGCAATTGCAAAATAATATTTTATCATAAAGAGCAAAAACCTTACATGGTAAGAGCTGGCATCATGAACTGTCTTGTGGTTAAGGATGGCAATACGTTATATTTTTGGGTTCTACTTCCTAATAGAAAAATCTAAGTAAGTGTGGTGTAGCTATACAGTACCTACAGTGAATTTAATTGGTGTGTCATCAATATAATCTAAGAAAGCCCTTGGAGGCACTCAGGCTTCACTGTGCCCGTGCCTTGCTCCTTAGATGTGAAAACCTTCTGCATATGAAAAACATTGTGCACAGCTCCACCCCGGCAATTAACACAAAATAACATTTTGGAGAGTTGTAGTTCACGAGTTGTAGTCCACAAGTAGCTCAGGAAGCTAACTAGAGAGGGACATTGTTGATCCGGTTAGATAATAGGAGTACTTTGGTTCTCATTATTCTGATGAGCGGGTACACGTTTGCTCTTTGAGCTTCTTGATGGTAAATGGTGCTAATGAGGCCTGATGGATTCCCTGCTCCTAACAAGCCTCTCAGCAGTGCAAGTGATTACAATGGAGATAGATTTGATGGGATGCGCTCTCTTTTGTAGTGTCTCAGCTGCTGACACTCTGCGACATAATCAGGTCACAGAGCCGGTCACAGCCATCAGCAAAAGCCAGAGCTCTATCCCTCATTATTAAAGTGCATTATTCAGTTCCAGGCCTTCACAATACTGCCAAAGGCCTTTTCTTCGTCTTCTTTTTGTTAAGCATCAGTTCTCAAATACAAGGGTTAATAAAATCATCAGCTAAGGAACTAGTAAATTAAAGAAATGGAAATAAAGTACTCCCTTTCAAATTCGTTGAAGGATCACAATTAAATAAGCAGGGAATTTCTCATCACCACATACTGTACAGTACAATGTAATATGTCATGTGCAATAAAAACAGAGAAGAGGATTTTAAAAAATAGCATTGTCCTCATTGTGGCCTGGCTTCAAAAGCACTGAAGTATCTTCCATTCAGAAAGGAATTTCTGTCCTCCCAACTGTGACGTAGGTGCATGGAGACAATATTATTTTCACCATTCTCTGTAACTACTGTATTTCTGGTGTGGTAAAAACTGCTTGCAAACTGAGTTTATATGTCAAGTGTAGTAGCTGTTTTGTCTTAGTTAAAGTGGCCAAGGCCACAATCTGAAAAATATATGATAGGCCACTGTGGTAGGGTGCCTCTGTTCCCATTGACAAGGCCATTGCCTCCTTTTGGAGAGTGAGCTAATTACAAAATGGTGTGGGAAACAGGGAGTGTAGCAGTTTCTTTCTATAGTGATGATAGTCAGTTGGGGCAACCTCCCCTCCAAGAACAAATACGCTTTTTAAGTCCCAGATAGACTTCAATGCAGTTTAGTCAAACAAGTGAGAAAATAATGAGTGAAGAACCCAACTTAATTTTTTATTTATGT